TTCGCTCTGGGAACAACCTTAAACTACAATTCCTTTTATGGCTATTTTGCTTGTGAAATCAGTTTTGCTTTCACTTTGAAGCACTCATGACCAGCTCTAAGTCTACTGGGAATCAAGATTTCTTTTTCCCTTCATCATAAGTAATCTATTGTTCATCATTTCCTTTGAATGCGTATGCCTAATTTTTTCTTGGATAATAAATTTTATACTATTATTGATATATTAATTTATTTATTGCAAATTTGTGCTGAATACCTTTCTTTATTTTAATAATAATTCTCAGAACGTCGTGACTTTCTTAAAATACTTATTTCTAAATTGTCCAGAAACACTATGGTATAATCATCAGAACTTTCTATTCTCTCATTATGCCCAAACTCATGATGCCAATAAGGGGAATACCTTAGAAATATAAATGTTTTCTCCCTGCGTACCAAATATATATATTTCAACCAAAAGGTTATACTTTACAATGTACTCCCTATGTAGATGGCTTCTCCTCCAAGTATGATATCAGCTTTTGTTTCTGTGGCAAAGGGTTCTCATTTTATCGCTGTTTGCTATCATCCAAACTGTGATCCTCATGCTTGGGACAATTGAAAGAGTTCCATAATTTCATCATATTTTGGTGCGAATTATTTGACAACATGCATTACAGTGAGCTTAATTACTGTTTTATCCATTCTAGACTGATAAGTATCATTGCACCATCCATCATGAGTTGACATATTCTATAACCTCTATTTCGTGTTTAAGATGTGAAAATCCTCAAGTAATGTATATCATATGTCTCGCTCTTTTCCTTCTTTTATCTGGAATAAGAATAATGATCCCTGGACACAATTGAAGAGTATTCTTAATGATCTGAGAATTATGCAGCCAGACTGAGTGGACAGTCGAGAAATCTTGTCATCAATCAATAATCAATGTTTCGTTTGTTCACTTTAATTTGTAGTTTAGGCTTTTTGTCTACACCGTCATGTGCTTTTATATATATATATATATATACATATATACACACACGCTGAATGCTTTTCTATCTCTGTATCTTTTCTTATTTTCTTTTAGGTTGTTGGGGACTGTAATGGCACGGTGTTTGGTGGCTTGGTTGAGGCACCCTTGAAACCATCGAACAAGAAGTATCAGGTAATGATTTATTTTCTTTAGTATGTTATTACATACTATGTTACTCTTCCACTTAGATTAGCAGTGAATGCAAAACAGGGAACAAATGATACCTTTGTTTTCACAAATATATCTGGCCATCCTCGTATATTTCATCCCACAGGTATTAGTGCTTCTTTCTCTCTGAAGATTTATACATCTAGCTATCTCTAGCTTTCCCTGGCCATTTGCCTTTGCAGAATTTCATTTAATTTTATTTAGACTGCGACTATTTCTATTTTTCTGTATTTTAATGAATCGATTTTTTTTTCTTTTTTTCCTATTGTCAAGTTAAAATGTGTACTTGTTTTAAAGGCTATAGCCTATTAGTGCATGTTCTATACAGTATTGGACAGCGTATCAAAGCGATATTTTAGATTCTTTTTCAACGTACTTCCAATGCTAGTACATAATTTTTGCAATGATTTTGAAGTTTTTCGGCTTAATAAAACTGGAATTGTTGGAAACCATTATTGCAGAATTCTCGTCCTCAGATAAGTGGAAATTGTTCCAGTGGTTTGTTATGACTTGATATATAGTTGGCTAATGTTAGAACTTCCAGTTTTGGAGGGGTTCTGCATTTGGTCTATATATATCTAGCCTATTCTTTTGTTTTCTTGGAAAAATTTCATCTTTTTGTAATTTCTAGTGGGAGTTCAGGTTATTATATTCCTAAATATTCTTCGTTTTTTATACTGAAACCTTCACATAAACAGGTGTGAACCGCTATTTTACTTTGTGCTCTACGGATAATTTAGCCTTGGGTGGGGGTAATCATTTTGCGCTTTATTTGCATGGAGATCTGTAAGCTTCCGAGTTCCTTTGTCATTAACATTTTATAGAATTTATTCTGGCATGTATACTCCTATTTATCCAATAGTTAATGGAAATACCATGTTCTTATTTTTTATCCCACCCCCTCTCAAGATTGAGTGGATCAAGTTCGTCCTCGGAGACATATGGAAATCCCTGTTTGGCGCATGCTGAAGATTTTGAAGTGAAGGAAACTGAGGTATTCATTGTTGAAGACAGCTTAAATATATAATGCCTCCTCCAGAAAAGTTTAAGCCTTTAAATAAGGTGGTTGAATATGGCTCTAAAACAACCAAACGAAGATGTGGGTTTCAAATCCTGCTAGAACCTATTGCCATTTGCCCACACTGGCCCGTAATTTTAGGCATTTACAAAATAGTCCTTATAGTTTTTTAAATTGCCCCCACTGGGCCTTAATTTTTGGCATTTACAAAGTAGTCCTTGTAGTTTTTAGTCCATAAGTTTTTTTAACCCATAATTTTTACATAATTCTGTCTCGTTCCCACTGAATCACCTTGTTGGGTCCACCCCCTTACTAGAACTCATTTATGAAAATTTTGCACAGTTTTATGCCTTTGATGAAAAAACTGAATCCAGTATTTACATGTCTAAGCTTTTAGATGAGTGATGATTCAACATTCATACCCCTCCCTCTACGTACACCCCTTCTCACACGCGTGACATCATGACATTCTATAAAAGTGCCTATTTATAGGAGATCTTGGACTAAATTTTTTCTTAACTACGAATATCAAGGTTGGTTACATCTTGTATTGTATGCAGCTATGGGGCTTTGTATATGCTTCCAAATATGACGAGGTGATCTCTTCATTGCGAACAGAAGTTCCAGGAATTAGCAGGCTTGCTTCCATCTGATGTCACATTAGCTGGGTTTGGTTTTTGAGCAAACTATACATTAGTGACTATATTTGTACATTTCAGCAAGGCGTTTTCTAAATATTAGCGTCACTTGTACAGGTGCAGACCACTTTATGTAAATAAAGGACGTGTTTTGGGTATGTCGTGATGCTGAACCTTGAGTATTGCATGACGAAGATGAACACAGGCCTTGTGAGGCTGGAACATTTTACACTTGTAGATGCATGAACGCCACGAATATTATGGATAGATAACACCTCGAGGAAATTACAACGGCAGAATTGTGAACGAAAAGCCTCCATAGGTCAAAGATTATTAAACTTGACTTTGGTATGTTGGATGAACATCAAAGATTATTACCCTTCATAGCTGGCCTTTTTTCTCTCAAAGTGCGCTCCCTCAAACGAGCTTTCAACAAACATTGTCTAGCTTTCAAAGAATATTGCCCTACTCTTGAACATGTCTTATTTCTACTGCTTAAATGACCAATAACTATAGAGCACCACTTACGAAAGGAACTTAAATTTTCTCAATTTTATGTACATTATATGTTTTGAAACTAGCCCTCTGAACTCTCTCTCCCCCCTCTTGCTTAAGAATTTTCTTGGATATATTTAGAAAAAATCTCGATATCTTAAACAACCAGTTACAAGGGGCACGAAAATAAAATTTACGGGTAACGATATGATGATTCCAGTAACAAATCCAACTTGAAGAAATGAAGAAATCAATTACTGCTGGAAAATGCGTACTTTCCATTCATGCAGTAACAAATAAATGATGCAATAGGAAATTGTCAATCCATTGCGGGCAATAAATCCATAATTGGGCAATATGAGCAACACATATGGTAGAAGCTGAATCGTAAAAAGACTAGACCTGAGACTAATCAGACCCAAAGAAAACAGACTATAAAGTCAGAACACCCCTCAAACACCCAAGGCCCGAGGCCGAAGTAGCCCAGGCACCTATGCCCAAGGTCGAGAGTGCCACCCAAGCATAGAGTCCTGAGCATCTAGGCCTGATGTCAAGAACGCCACTCAAACAACTGATCTAGGAACCTCTTACATGCTCCCAGAGCAACAGCCAACAGACAGATCCATCTCCTCTTAGAATCATGTCATTGTCTACGCACCCATGGGAACCCAGCCGTCTGCTCACTGACAACAAAATGTTAGAATTTATCCTCCAAGGGGACTATATCTCCAAGCCCACGGCCTTAGAAAGGGGTTAGAATGCTATTTTTATTCTTTTACCACATTACTCAGACACAACCATTTTCCTTGATAACTACATGCTTGGGTGCAGGAGATTGTCCAACGGAAAGTTTCGCCAGAGGAAATGTTATTATATGATCCAAGTTCACACATCATCAAGGCCGTTCCAGAATATTATCAGAAGCAGTAATTATTGGTGCAAAATAAACACAACGGCTTCGATGTGCCTTGAAGAATGCTTCTCTTGACCTATGAGCTTCATTCGAATGTAAAACTCAACTCCATCATCACTCCATGTTAATATCTGCCCAGATTTGAAGTAACAGATAAGGGTCAAAATTAAGACATATCTTCCTAGATGAGCGTATCAAAGTACGGCGACACTACATTTCCAAAAGAATAGTTAAATGAAGAAAAAGTGACCTTCGCATGCATCAACCTAAATTCTCATGATGAAAAGCTCAAATTAAGTCGAGGCTCATATACTTCATGGAGGCAAAAGTTATTAATCTTCAGTGGCCTCCTCACATCTTCTGTGATAGTTCTCGTACAATTCAGGGTGTACAGCATTCAGCTGCAGTGACCAATCTTGCCTACCAAAAAAGGCAAAGGAAATAGTTATTTAACTATTCTGTAAGATGTATTCTTGATAATTGTACTTCAAAAAAAAACCATTAATAGAAACAACTCAATCTGCAATTTTAAGGAAACAAACAGGTATACACATACTATTTGAAAGGTAAGTACAAAATCAGAAAGATGCAAGAACGAACATAACAGCAGCAGTTTACCAACTGGTTTGCAATGACTGAAGCTGAGGACCAAGGCGACACCAGAAATACATATTCGCAGAACCAAGCCAGAGCTTCATGCAAGCAGCAACTAAAGGATTTAATTAACTTTAGATTTTGCAGCGGCAGTTCATGCTTAAATGTCCATCTCTTCCCTATCATTACACAAAACAGAAACAAACAATTTTAGTTTGAAATAGTACACAGTAATCTATTGAACAAAATATTAGCCATAACCTGAAAACTAGGCATCTACATATGATAGAAAATAGAGTATTCTATTTGAAAAAATGGTGCTAAACAGTTAGTCTGGGTGGCAATTAAGTGATATCAATTGATAAACAGTTTAAACGGGAACCATATCACTACATTAAAATGACCTATCAATTAGTGACACTTAAGGCTGGCACCAGTTGTTGTACATAAATAAATCATTTTCACGATATTAATTTGCCCACACAGCTTCAAGCCACGTAAGCAACAGCAAAAGATACCCAATTAGACATTTCAATTTTTCATTTTGCCAAGCAAATGAACGCGTCAGATAGTCATACACCCAATGTAAACCCTAATGCTAAACAATAGTCCAGGTGGCAATTATGTGGCATCAATTAATTTTATTTTTTTTAAAGGTTGGCATCAATTAATTAGACAGATTAAATAAAAATAGAATTACTACATTTAAAAGACAATTAAAGACACAAGGTTGGCACCAGTTGTGTTACATATCATTATTCCATAATATAAATCACTTATTCACACTATTAATTTGCCCAAGAAACTTCAAACCACGCAAGCACCTCGAATTTTATTAAATTTTGACAACCCCAGCTAATGAACGCATGAGATATTCATACCCAAGTGAAAACTCTGGTACTAAACTAGTCTAAGTAACAATTAAATGGAATTAGTTGATAAGAGTTTTCTACATTTAAAATGTCCTATCAATTAATTATAATTAAGGTTGGTTTCTACACCAGTTGTACTACATAAAAGTTATTCCTATTAATCATTTTTCAAGATATTAATTTGCCCAAGCAACTTCAAGCCACGTAAGCAACAGCAAAGATACACAATTTATCATTTAGTAATGCTATTTAGCCCACTGGGGTTATAACCCTAGTCTATGGCATTAAATGATAAGTGGAATTAAATTGGTCATTTAATTTCACCTTTCATTTATCCTATCACCTAACACCACATAAATTGGGGTTATAACCCCAGTTGGGCTAAATAACATTATTCTTTAACATTCAAATTTTCATAAATTTTGGAAACTCGAGTGAATAAATGTGTGAGATAGTCATATTCAAGTCATTAGCATGGTTAATAAAACTATTTCAGCCTCACATGAGCCTATCATAAAACTCGTCAAGCCCCACACCTTAAATGTCATTTGTGAGTCTTACGCCTCATACTGAGCCTAAAACCAACTAAAGTATTCACATGTCTACGTTGCATTTTTCAAGCATTTAGCCCTTGTTTGATTTTTATTTTTTGATAAGTGATTTTTTTTGGGGAGTGCGTGGTTAAGTAAAAAAAAGTTATAAGTTCACATGCAAAATTATTTTATTGAGAAAATATATAGTTGAAAATAAGTGAGGCTGAGCCTAAACCAACTAAAGTATTCACATGTTTACCTTGCATTTTTCAAACATTAAGCCCTTGTGTGATTTTTATTTTTTGAGAAGTGATTTTTTTTTTTTTAAAGAGTGCGTGATAAGAAGTAGAAAAAGTTATATGTTCACATACAAAATTATTTTATTGAGAGAATATGTAATTGAAAATAAGTTAAGAGGAAAAGTGAGTTTCAAGGAAAAGTGAATTTGAAAAATCAAAATCAAACAATGGCTTAATTATTGACCTTAGCCTTTTGAGTTATTTCTTAATGAGAAATGATCTACTAAACACCGTTGTTTAACTTATGTTAAGCATAATTGACATGGTACATCAATTAATTGGTGGATCATTTAATTCTTGGGACCTACAATGAAATTATTCGGCAATGCTTGACACATTACTATTGCACTACTTAGTAAATCATTTCTCATTTCTTTATAACCTAAAATATTTTACATGTTCTTTTATAATGTTGACCTACATGGAAGGAAAATGGGAAGGACAATACCTCGTTGCAATTAGAAAATGATGACAAATAATGAAAAGACAGTGGTGTGAATGGTTCCCTTAAAGATCATATAACTAGATTATACAATGAAATTTTTAGTTGTCTCCACTTTTAATCATGGAATATAATTTTTTCACAAGATTACAACTAGAAAACTTATTATTTTCTATTTTCATGATCTATTTCATTTTTGTTTGCAAGTTAGACTTTTAGTTTTGTTAATTACTTTATTAGGATTACACCCTAAAGCGCCTAGACGCTTATGCCTCGCCTCATAGATATAAAACGTTTCGATACCGAATCAAGCCTTTTTATTGAGCAACCTTCTAAGTGTCAAACCAATCCCTCAAACCGCCTCTTACCTACTCCCACAAGTACTTTGTTGAAGGCCCCCGTAATCAATATAAATAAGCAACAAGAACAATAACCCAATAACAGAGAGGGTAAATAATATTTAGTTGAAAACAATAACCCAATTACAATCGTCAAAAGTTGAAAAACCTACCTAGCAATACTCATAGTTGAACTTCTAGTAAATAAGGAAAACTACTAAACTAACAAAAGGAGATAATAGACATCTCAACATTAAGTATAAGTTCTCTTCCTAAATGATTACATAAGTTTAGCAAGGATCCAATCAAACGAGTTGTTGTGAGTAGAACTTTTGTCAATAAAAACTTTTATCAGTATAGATTTTCCAAAAAGAGTTGTTAATTGTTTGGTTGTCACTCCAAAAAGTGCAATTGAAATTAATTTTTGTTTGGTAGCATAACTGCAAAAGTACTTGTGGATTAGAAAATTAAGGGATTAAGTGAAACTTTCAAATCAAATATAGCCCCTATTTGAGCCATATCTCTAAAAAATCATTTTTTTTCAATCTCATTTTCAACCGCACATTTTTCCAATAAAATAATTTTATACGTAAACCTAAAAATTTTCTCAATTTTTTAACCACACATTCTCAAACAAATTACTATTACAAAATCTATATTTACAAAAAATGGAGCTCAAACAAACCCATAAATCTAATCTCGGGCAATTCTTTTCTTATTACAACAATTTATGATTAGACAACATACCCTCGTTACACCGAAGCAAAGCAAGCAATTTTTCAAGAATTGTTAAACAATTCATGAAACATTAGAACTCGTGTAGCAGTAAGGTTTGGATAAAATTAAAAATGTACATTAAACATTAAAAAATCATTAAATATATAAAGTATAAACATTAATTGGAAGATAGAGACCAAATATAGACAATTAGACGAATATAAAAACAAGAGTCAGTTCATGAAACTTTTAAGAAAAAGAATTATGCAACTTTATGGGATGAAAAGAAACAAAATCACAGACGCATGTATAATGGAATATTACCGATGAAAGTCACGCGTACGGGAATTCTTTATACGTGAAATTTTTTTTTAATATAGTAATGCGTAGGATTAATTTATGTATTCGATGTTTTATTAAAAAAATAAGGCTAAAAGTAACATAAAAATTTTATTTTAGCTTTCCTACAGAAGTGATTTATTAGAGAAGCTCTAAATTTGAGTTTCTCTAAAAGAATTTTTGAAAGTTGTTTTTGGTCAACAAGCACTTTTTTTACTATAACTATAGCCAAACAACAACGCTTTTAAGCAGAAGTGTTTTCGGCCTCCAAGTAGAGCTTTGGAATCCCAAAAAGCCCTCCCAAACACACACACTAAGCATTCAATATAATATCTATTAGGATCTCCATCATCCAACCACAGTCCTTTCCACCTCTGAAAGCATTCTGAGAAACAAGATTCGCAAAAGGTTTAGAATCATAGTGGAAAACAAAAAAATGCTAATCATTGATCCCAGTTATGCAAACTCTCCTCTGCTTGCAAACCAATTTATTTCGATAAATGAAGCGAAAAGAATTCTGGTTTTACAGCTCATATGCATTCATGCCTAAACCTACATAAAATTCCATGCATTTTCTTAGCAAAAAATCAGTGAACACTTCATCTAACCCATATTAATAGGTAAAATATAGTGACAGGTCTGACATCTTCAGCATCGTGAGCTACTCCAATATGGCAATATCCAAGCATGAGGGAAGAGAAGTTAAAACGGGTAAAAAGTTCCTCAATAATTTTAGATATATCTCAGCTCAACACAATTAAGCCTTGTTAAAATGTAGTGAAGGGTCTCACATGTTCAGCATCATGGGCAACTCGTATATGGCAATATCCAAGCACGACGAAAGAGAAGTTCAAATGGGTAAATATCTACAGCCTTATTAATTTATAATACAACTCTGCCCAACACAATTAAGCCTTGTGCTATATTTATCGGGAGATGAACATTATTACATCTAGACGTAACTAAGAAACATATATCCAACATAAATGCAATAACTTTTAATTAACCATGCAGAAATTTTAAAGTTCACACTGCAATGACACAACATTTAAGCAAGTTCAGATACTGGAAAACAAGAAAACTTCAAACCTAAAAATGCATAAATAACTTCACATGGTAAAGCCGTTGCTGAGTTCTAATAAATTGATCTACCTTAAATTCTCCTTTTTTTGCTGGAGAATATCCTTCACTGCACTATGATTCAAAGGAGCAAGCAACATGTTGAACGTTGTTATCATCTTTGGTCACATTAAATCAATGAAGTGGTGTTACTCGGTTTACATCCATCTGCATGGGCAACAGAAAGAAGTTTGCTCTTTGCCTCTGTAAGCAATTTGATAAGAAAGTCACATTTCTCATCCGAGTCCACACCAAGCTGTTGAAGATCAAGCATCAGTGGACTCAACTTCCTGTGCCGTTTATTTTTACCATTGCAATCAACATTGTCGTACACCCCATTCAGAAATTTATACCCATGCTTTATGTCCTTCCGCCATCTTTCTATAACATAACAAGAGGGAACCTTGTTCACCTTTTTCTTGATAAGCACAGATGTTGCATGCCTACAAAGAATTCCCTTGAACTCAAAGAGATGGCATAAGCACTGCACTTTACATTCAGCTTCATTAAAGAGTACCCCAAAAGTCACTTCTTTAGAAAACATTCCATCTTTATCTAATATACTTTCTGTCACCTCAAATACTGAAACAAGCCCTTCTGTCCTTACAAAAGAGGCATTGCAAAAGATCAATCCCCTTAATTCATCCTGAAATAGCTTGAAAATTTCATTAGTATAAATTTGCTGAAACTGATATTCGATGGGATGATTTGTTACTGTTGGAATGCAAGCGCTAAAAGAGGCAAAATCTGCATTGTTCTCTTTAATGATTTTACTTTTCATCGCATTGTCATAAAGCTCAATAAATTGCTTCACAGTGGTCTTTGATTGAATATGGCTATCAAAAAAGGCATTCATATCTTCTCTTCTGTGAGTTGCAGATATTCCAGCCAAGAAAGTCTTCTTCACATACACCGGGGCCCAATGAAGACGATCATCATATAAAGACTTCAACCACTCGTTATCATGTAAATTGTATTCATTAATCAAGGTTCTCCAGTTGTCCTCAAACTCATCACATGTAACGGAGTCATAAATGATATTCTTCAAAATCTTCTTGATTGTTTTGTACTGGGCAATCTCTTTCAATTTTGTCGGAAACTTTTTCATGATATGCCAAAGACTTAGACAGTGCTGAGAATTTGGAAAAACTTTTCTAACTGCATCCTGGACAGCTCTACACTGGTCTGTAATTACAGCCTTCGGAGAATGACCCAACATACACGTCAACCATGATTTGAGCAACCAGACAAAAGTATCTGTATCCTCGCTTGATATTAAACCACAACCAAACAACACAGAATCGCCATGATGGTTCACACCAACAAACATAACGAGTGGCATGTCATAACTTTTTGTAAGATATGTGGTGTCAAAAAAAATCAAATCACCAAAAGACTCATATGCTGCCCTACACCTTGCATCAGACCAGAAAACATTTCTTATACGAGATTCCTCATCCCTGTCAATCCTAAAGAAAAAGTTTGAATTTCTAGCCTGCATTTGATAGCAATATATCATTAAAGCTTCCGCATCTTCCTTCCCAAGTCTCAACAGTCTTGCATTTGCAATAGTACTTCTGCATTCCATTTCAACCACAGCTAAGTCATTAACTTCTAACTTTCTCTTGGGTTGAGAAGTGACCATCTTACTGCTTCTAAATTCTCGCGGCTGCCCTGGATTAAGTTCATGATTGTGATCAAGACAGACACGAGTCACAACATATCGTCCATCATCATAAACAGCAATATTCATCCTGGCCTTACATTCAGTCTTACTAGGAGGCCTTGTCCGCGAGGAGTTCTTCCCAGCTGTCGAAGGCGGTGTCTTACCACTTCGAGCACATGCAAGCGAAAAATACTTTTGCTTCCCATCATCTCCATTCTTGGTGCTAACTTTAGCTGTATTGAAGCCAACAGATTGTGCATACCTATTATAAAAATTACGAACTTCGTCATAGGACCGAAAAGCCATACCAACCTCAGGAATTTTCACTTCTTCGTTAGGTGATGTTTGTCCAAACCCTTGAATATTCATTTTTTCACCAGAGTCATTATCATCATTATCGGGTATTCCATTCTCATTCTTCAAAGCTGTATCCTTCTCAAGATTTCCTTCCATTTTCTGTAAAATTCAAAGCCACAAAGAACATTAGAATAATAAAATGGAAAGTTTAAAGAAACAATAAATGCACTAACTTAAGGAGACTGACCATATTTGCAAATTAATTGTGATATAAACGAGTTTTGGAAGATTAAGAAGTAATATATAAATCATTTATACCACTAAAACTGATTGAACTGCAACAATTATATAAACTAAGAACACAAGTAGCCTTCCTTTCTCCATGCTGAAAGGAATGCTTTAAAGATTGGCAAAAAAATGGTTGTCCTTCAGCACTTTAATCACACGCAATAAAAGCAAGTTGACATTTGCTTCAGCCGTCATATATATCTAAAAGAAACATCAAGTTCATAAAAAATTCTTATAAAGTTTACGGCTTTTGAATTTTTTTTATAACAGCCCAAAATAATTCCAAATTCTGTATCTACCACTCTACCAGTGATCAGATTATGCACAAAATAATAAACCAAAACAAATGAAAAGAATAGCACCCTAGACATTTTAGTCAAAGTAGATTGCTTAAATAAACAAATATATGATACCACGTTGAGCAATTAACTCCAGAATAATTTTTTAAAAAAAAAATCTGACGATAAATTCAAAACCCACTAAAGAGTAACCCTCGATCTGGATAAAGGATTTTCAAATAAGTAAAATAGTACGAAATGGGAAATCAAATTATTATAGTAATTGCCAAAAATATAAAAACAGATCTACACATGTCTAACATGATTATCTACAAGTTCTAGTGTGAGTGAGTGAGTGTGTGTGCGTGTAGAAGAGAAAAAGAAGCTTACTGAGTGCGGCAGCAGCAGAAAATGAGGGTCTGAACTTTGAGAGAAGGAAGGGAAGATGCCCTAAATTTGATTTGGGTAGTTGGTGATGGAAATGAGGAAAAGGGCATTAAAATGGGGTCAGACTTAAATAATCACTATAACCAAACAGAAGTGAAGTTACTACATGCCGCTTCCTAGTCAATAAGATTTTCACCCCAAGATATTATTCTTATCTTCATGTTAGAGAAGAGAAGTATAAAACCTCAGTTGCACCAAATTAGTGCAATGGTCTTCTAGCATTAGTGGAAGGTGACACTTGATTTCGAGATGGCAAAATATGGGATAGTCAACATGATATTGTCGAATGTTTTTTCAATTGCTGATCCTGCAATAACTCGATTTTGATAATATAAACACGAACTATCAAGCTTCGAAATTTGTAAGGTGCTTGTCAGCACTTTACTTGAGAAGTATCGCATACAAGCTTAGTTAAATGAATTTCTCGATAAAAACATAATGATCAAACATGTTTCATACAGAAATGGTCACCAAGTATATAGTTATATTCTAGTTAAGTTACTTTTTTTAGTCGGTGTTTGTCTATTTTTGACAAAAATGTCATATAGTTAATGAAACTAATGACGTACCAATGAAATTAATAATAAAAATACCGGATAAATGATGGGATAATAATACTTGTGGGGCCGAAAGATTTGACCACTCTTCACCATTTTTATTGCCAAACTCTATGACATCATTAAGCTTCCATACGCATATTGTTGTCGAGTGAATTTCACGTAACTAACATAATGATCAAACATCTTTCGTATAGAAATGTTCACCAAGTATATAGTTATATTCTAGTTAAGTTACTTCTTTAGTCGGTGTTCGTCTATTTTGACAAAAAAATGTCATATAGTTAATGAAACTAACGACATACCAATGAAACTAATGATGAAGTTACCGAATTAATGATGGGATAATAATACTCGTGGGACCGAAAGATTTGACCACCCTTCACCATTTTCTATTGCCAAGCTCTATGTCATCATTAAGCATCCATATGCATGTTGTTGTCAAGTGAATTTCACGTAAATAACACAATGTTCAAACATCTTTCGTACAGAAATGGTCGCCAAGTATATAGTTATATTTTAGTTAAGTTACTTCTTTAGTCTATGTTAATCTTTTTGACAAAAATATCATATAGTAAATGAAATTAATGACGTAACCAATGAAACTAATAATGAAGTTGCCGAACTAATGATTGTATCAATAATAGTTGTGGGACCAAGGGATCACCACTTATTGATATTTCAAGTAAATAGAAAAACATTTCTCATATTTTATTCCATATAAACAAACACACTAATCGATATCACTTGACAAAACTTGAAATATTTCACAAAACAAACAAAATCAAACTTATGTTTACGACATTTCAAAACCAATTTGTGTTCATAATAGTCGACCGGTTCTACTCTATCCTTCAAAAGCAATGTCATGAAAAATGGATCAGACCAATCGGTTCAATTGGAAAAATTAGGAAGCATTTCAAATTCAGTCCGATCAATGAACCATTGAACTAGCCGATTTAGCGGTGAATCGAAAAATCCTCACAATTTTATCAGTTAATCATGTTCTTTTTTGACAAAAAATTTCTACTGTTTTTATGGGTTCGTATATTGCATTTGCGGGCCCAATTTAAATTTTCTCCCAAGTGTTACTCATTTTGAAAGACACTCCTCCAAATGACTTTAATCCTCTTGGGATAAAAATTTATCCAATTGCCAATTTTGAATGTTTACAATTTTCTTCATTCTTTCCATTAACAAATAATAATTAAAAAAAAAAAGCAATGGATTTATATTTATTTTAAATTAGCATACCAAAATTAAAAAAAAAAAAAAAAATCTCGTGTTGTTACTATATTTTATAGTTCGTGTGCGTATTTATATATATTATTTTAGCATTCGGTTCGACGCCTATTAAACATTTTGACCATTGACCTTTTATCATTTCATGATCGATGTCCAAAACATTGAAAAAAAAAAAATGAGTCACGTGAGTTCATGTTTCATTTTGACAACCATTTGGACCAATCAAGAACAACTGGCTACTATAGAGGTTAGGAAGGACTATATTTCAAATAAGTTGGGGACCTTGTTTGTAATTTTTCCAAAATGTATAATCTTCCATCTCCAGCCACCTCCAAGAAAAGTCATTTCATTTCTGAATATCTGATTATAGTCCAACCAAACGCGGTTTTAATCTCAAGGTCACCCAACAATGGCGGCGACCAAGCACAGAGCCTCGAGGCCCGGGCCGATCAGCCCGAATTCAAGCACAGGCACAAGCACAAAGGTCTGGCTCTTCTCTTTATTACTCACTATTCAGTACGGAGCTCAACCTCTCATCTCCAAACGCTTCACCAGGTTATAATTTTTTGCTTCTGTGCACCTGAATATTATTATATGTTATTGCAAAGCCGTGATCAACTCAATTTACTGTGCCCGTCTCGTGAATGAATGCTTAATTGTACTAATCCATAAATTGTTTCCGCTGTTGCAAATGGGATGTCGTGATTCGAATTACCAAGAATGAATCCAGCAATTTTTGGACCTCGATTTCACGTTAATTTAATTAGTATTTAGTAGCATTTACATGGGTATCAAATTCACAGATATTAGTAATATTAAGAAAATTTTTGAATTGGATAGAATGATTACATTGATATGAAACATGGGTAAAAACAATAAGTTTGGCTGCTGAAATAGAAACCATGACATATAATTTCGGAGGAACTATTTATTTAATAGAAAAAAAATAGGAAATGAATGTAACAACTTCTAGTAATGTTTTAAGAAAAGGAAATTCTTTTCTTTTTTTCGTTCCTTTCAGTTATTCGGTATGCAATGAATGCCACACTACGTTAGTATGCTTTCTTCCATTTGAAATGGGCGCTCGCAGTTGAAGTACTGAAATGATTTATTCTGAGTTCTAAAATCAAGGTTTTCATCTACGCTTCCAAACAGGGAAGAGTATAACACAATAAAGATTTATATTTGTCTCAGTAAATTATAGAGAGACCATACTATCAAAATCCGTAATTCCGTTGCTTCAATTCCTCCCTTCAACTTCTTGATCTTTCCAAAAATTGCAAATGCATTCATTCTTTTGTGTTGAGCTCAAACTAATGTGGTAGTTGTATTGCTCTTTAATTAAGTTAAAGTTCTTGAAGATATTTAAAGATTTGTATAGAATTCATGTTTCCTAATATTCTCTTTAAAGGAATTTTTACCATTTTTTCTATTAAGTAAATTTTTTTCTTCTCCTATTTACAAATTACAAAAATTGAAAAGATTGATCGGAGGATTTAGGTACCCACGTGCACCCGTAAAAAATAATAAGATGGGATCTCACAGATATGATTAAAATCCTATAAGGCTTCCAATATGGTTTGAGAAGTAGGGCCCTCTAATTTGGGAATACATGTGTCCCATCCACTGCCATCCCCCTGTTGCTTTGATCATCCATATCTGGCAAGAGAAGATTTCTTTCATGCCAGTAGAAAATTGTTTAGTATTTTGTGCTCTGCAAACAAACTACTGGTTCGAGTTACAATGCCATAACTTCATATATTATTCTTCCTGCAGGAGAGATGTGATTGTGACTTCATCTGTTTTGGCATGTGAGGTGGTGAAGGTAACTATTTTTCTTCAATTTCTTTTCCACCTTTTTAATTTGTAAATCATATGAATGTTACTAATTTAGATATTTTATATGCATAATAGGTTGTTTGTGCTTTTTTTCTTATGGCAAAAGATGGTACTTTGAAAAGGCTATACAAGGAGTGGACTTTGATCGACTCCCTGGCTGCATCCGGACTCCCAGCTGCCATATATGCACTGCAAAATAGCTTGTTGCAGATATCTTACAAAAATCTTGATTCACTCACATTTTCAATGTTGAACCAGACCAAACTGTTTTTCACTGCTTTGTTCACCTATATAATATTAGGGTATGTTCTCACTTGAATCCATTCAAAGTAGGGTTAGAGACACTTTTTTTTATTATTCAAATGTGTTGAGAATGGACATATGTATAGAAGAGAGTGTTTTTTTTTCAACTCTCTCAAAATGGAATCCATTCCTAACATATACGCACAGTTCCTTTCTTCTACGGGTATCTTCCTCGACTCATCGGATAATCTTCTTCTAAAGATTTTAATGAAAAGTAAATTTCACGAGTGAGATTTTTACTGTTGTCTTCTTCCACTAATGGGTTTAGGTTCCAACTCAGTAATTATAGATGGTCAAGACTCCAATTGTAGCATAGTGCCTGGTTGCATTTTTGACAAGTGGGTTTGTTAGTTTGTCTACCATTCTCCAAAAAATCTTTTTTTCTAAAACTCATTTTCAACTACACATTCGCACAATAAAATATTTTGCATGTAAATTCAAAACTTTGCCCTACATTTTAATCACATTCTCCAAAAAATCATCATTCCTTTGGGTAAGTATGTAGGTTTGTCTTCAAGGCATTATTTTGTTTCTAATTGAGGCTCTACAAGAAAACTATCACCGTGTAAATCCTAGAACCATGGTTGCTGTGGGGGTGGTAGCGATCATCATTTGAACTACACGCCTTTCTTACTGAGATGCTCTTTTCTCCTCCTTGATGTGGAAATTCTTTGAAAATCCAGTAACTCAATATCATTAAAACATTTCTGTTGAGATTCGATCAACTAGATAACATTATAGAATGGCTTTTCAGATTGTTAATGTTGGATTTTTTCCATCAAAAAATTCTATAAACCATGTTTTTCTTTTCTTGGTGTGATTTATAGGCAGAGGCAATCAATTCAACAAATTGGTGCTCTTTTCTTGTTGATAATTGCTGCCATCCTTCTAAGCATCGGTGAAGGCTCCAGCAAAGCATCGAGTACTGAAAATCCTGATGAGATTTTATTCTATGGAATTGTTCCAGTGTTAGTAGCTTCAGTACTTTCTGGTCTGGCTTCTGCTTTGTGTCAGTGGGCTACTCAAGTAAGCAATTTTTTCATGTCTGATCTATTTGGAAACTTGTGTTCTCTAATTATTCCTTCTCCTTTTACGTTCACATTTTTTCCTATAAATAACTAGGTTAAGAAACATGCATCATACTTGATGACTGTTGAGATGTCAGTAATTGGAAGCCTGTGCATGCTGGCTAGTGCTTACAAGTCACCAGACGGAACAGCTATTAGACAGCGTGGGTTCTTTTACGGCTGGACTCCCCTGACATTGGTAATAAATAATAATCCATATTGAATGACACTTGAAAAATGTAGAGGTTCTCTAAAATTATTTAAACCTGCAATTTTCCAGGAACAAGAAAACACCGCTAAGCTTTTAAGTTCTCGTGTCTTAATTTTCTCACTTTTTTAATTTCATTTTGAGCTGAAAATCAAGATCAGATTTTCTGTCCATGACAACCAATCTAGCGAAATCAAAGGCGCATTATTGTAATACGTTACAATCATTGTATTCTTTTATATGCAGAAAGTTTTATGTGAAAGTAATATGAACTCCGGACCATTCATCAGCAAAGGATCGTGTATATGTGATTAACTGACCATATGCTACTGAAAATAAATTCTTAGGAGTTGTTTGGGAAAGATTCTTAAATTCTACAGTAAATCAATTCTCATTTTCAACCACACATTTTTCAATAAAATAATATTTTCCATCACATCAATAATTTTTTCTTCTTTTTCAACCACACATTTCCCATCATATCACTATTCAAAAATCTAATATGTAATTGTATGTGATTATATAGGGCCTGTTCGGTAGGGATTCTCATTTTCTACAGTAAATCAATTCTCATTTTCAACCACACATTCTTCAATAAAATAATATTTTCCTTCACATCAATAATTTTTTCTTCTTTTTCAACCACACATTTCCCATCATATCACTATTCAAAAATCAATTCTTCCCCCAAAAATTTCTCCCAAACAAGCTCTTAATTTTGGATGTTACTTATTTGTTTCAGATCCCTGTTACGATAAATGCTGTTGGTGGGATTCTTGTTGGTCTCGTGACATCTTATGCGGGTGGTGTCCGAAAGGTAAGTCTTAACATCACATAGATGTATAGAATTTTTTGGCAAATATATATAACCCAGTTTAAAAGATCAAATGACCAACGGGCTTTAACTTGCTGTATGCATGTCAGATATCAATTGCTAAAAAGTTAAATTCACGAATAAATTTTATAAGTAGCTCCATTTGTAACAAACACTTAGGAAGGGTGTGGAGATTTATGGCTAGAGAACCAAAAAAACTTGCTCTACATAAAATACTGAACTAGCTACCTGGGGCGTGTTTGGAGTTACAGCGGAGTGGACAGCATTGGAAAGTATTAAGAAAGAAAAAGGAGCTGAAATCTTTTCGATTCTACTATTTAGTACAGCCAAATACTAATTTAGACACGCGCACTCCCAGATTAAGCTTTGTTAGCGTTCCAACTAGAGTTATCATATTTGTGCCTTCGAACTTACCATATATGCATGTTTAGAAAATAACAGAGAAATGAAATAATGCATTGTATGAACTATGATGTGGTCACGGCGGTGTGTTACCATGATTTTTGCACTCTATATTGATTTTCTCTTATATGTTTTCCTTCTATATTTATGCAGGGATTTGTCATTGTGTCTGCACTACTCGTCACTGCTTTGCTACAGTTCATCTTTGACGGGAAACCACCTTCTCCATACTGTCTCGCGGCGTTTCCACTCGTGATCACTAGCATATCAATATACCAAAAATATCCATGTCTTAAAAAGAAAGACTAGTGAATCAAGAAACATATACAGAATTAGGAGAGGCACTGAGTTGGCCTATTTTTTTGTGCATCCAAACATGCCAGTGATTATAACATCATTCATTTTACATTTTATGAATATCAGTAGGCTGAGTTGCATTGTTTGCTTTTGTTTATTTGGATACCAAGTTCGAGGGTACGAGAAAGCACAGAGAGTGGAAAACACATGAAAATAAACGTTTTTGTGCTGGGAAGCATCAATTGGAACTGCAAAATGTAGTTTCAGACTTTCAGTTTATGTACATTGATGACGTACCTACACAGCGCAGAATCATTGCAGGAACAAAATAGAGAAACAGAAAGATTAATCGGTTGGTTGTTCGTAATGATGTTCAAAAGGCCCGTCTACCGTGGTTCTGTTTAGACTGCTCGAAGTTATGTAAAGACGGCGTCAACTTGTTCCGATTGTTCCACAAAACATCTAAAGAAGATGGCAGGGAAAATAGAAATATCAAATCTTGCCAATCCCAGATACATCACCAGTTGGCCTCATCTTTAGTGTCAGAAGTATTAATATTATTGTTCCCACACTTGATCTGTGAAGAAAAGATTAGTTAGTGAGTGCTGAGTGAAAGAAATGACATTTAGCATCATGATCCAAAGAAAAAGTTTAAAGCGTAACAAACGAAGATAACAAACCAAAACATCGTTGTCAATAAATTTGAACTCCGCTATAAAATCTTTTTTCGTGTTCCGTCTAAGGAAACTTGATCTTTAACAAATACAAGCCATATAATTTTGGTTCACTGCTCCTAACCCTTTTCTAAAAACACTTTACTCTTATGAGCAAAAGCCTCTTTAAGTCTCTGCTAAACATTTTCTAACCACCTAGTCCATTCTGGCTCTCTCGCGCACACATGCATGGAGGGAGACCGTGTTTTGCCATAAAACAAGGTAAAATATGAAGCTAGAAATATTCAGTTCGAAGCCAAATTGCATTATACAACTTCTCTTCATATAAGAATCTGTGCCTGAAGTGTGCATCTTAGTAACTCAGTTCATTCATCACACGCTTCTTCAAAATCAAACTGGAAAAGTAGAGTTCTAGAAGGAGGTTGTATAATATACTACTTCCGTTCCATAAAGATAGGCTTGGTTCTTCTTCAAAATCAAACCGGAAAAGTAGAATTCTAAATGGAGCTTGTATGATATACTACTTCTGTTCCATAAAAATAGACTTGGTTTCCTTTTTCGTCTATCCCAAATTATAGATCACTTTACTTATTGAAAGTATAGATATTTTTTTAGTTTTCTAATGTGCCCCTATTTAATATATCTTGTTATCGATAGATATAAACAAATCATATTTAAATCATTGTTTAATGTAGGGGTATATTAGAAAATATATAAGAAAAATTTATATTTCCAACTATATTAATTACATTTTCTTAATCTGCGTGAAAATATAAACAAAACTATGTTTAGGGGACGGAGGGAATAAAATATGCACTTACAAGGCTGAGAAAAGGAGAAGTACTCTTCTTGAGTTGAATAAGGCAGAACGTTTGTACTTCCTTGATCTGTTAGTAGGTATATCATATACTCTCTCAGGTCTATGGTTCATCAAGGGTTGCACAGACTTTCCTCTAATCCATAAGATAAATTCAGTCAGCAATTCCCTCTGCAAAGCAGTTCACTGTCATTTGAAATTTGCAAAACGATGGCAGAATATGGAAAAGGAAAAAACTGTATTGCCAGAAAAAATGACAACGACAGAAATTATTCACAACAGATTCGTTGATGGATTTAGATTTCTCTGATTCTGGCCTTCCTTTCTCAATATCAACATTCAAAACACATGGGGCAGAGCTGTTAGCCTTATCCATCTTCAGATTGTTGTGGTTTAGTAAATTTGATTCACCATTTAAACAAATCTCAGTTTCCATCATATTAGAAACTTCAGCACAGTTCACAAATTCTAGTTGTGGTTCACACTGTGGGTTGACGGTGGCTTCTTTAGGCAACATCACGGCGCTATGGACATGTTGGCACTGCAGAAAGAAGAAATCACCGTATTATCACAATTTGCTCTTAGCAATAATCGAACAGTAGAAGAGGGGAAATATTTAGAGTTAACAAATCTCATGATGATCACATTAATCAAATATCAATCATAGACCACAAGAAAATAGTGATTTAACACATTAGTCAAATGACAAGTGTCAAAAAGCTTGCATCAAATGAAATTCTGTGAAGTGTTACCAAATCCTCATCACTCACAAGTAAAACACAAAATAAACGACATAATGAATCCCACTGTGCTTATATGATTGATTCTTACATCACGTAAGCTATTCAATCGTGTAACAGACGCCTCGCCACACAGAAGAAAACATGTGCAGACCAACTAATGCAATAAGGAAAGGTCCATTATATAGCTAACAGTAAGGCTCATCCATGGAGAGGTACCCTTTGAGCATTATAAGGGTTTGTTTGGCGTAACTTATCTGAAAATCATTTCTCCTCAGACTTATTTTCAACGATACATTCTTCCAATAAAACAATTTTTCATGTGAATCCATGACTTTTTTACTACTTTTTAACCAAACATTCTAAAAAAAATATCATTTTTCACTTCAAATAATATCTCCCAAATAAACAATATCTCAGAAGGACTTATCAAGCACAAAATGTACAGTAAGGCCAAAATTAGAACTTTGGATTCATTTTAGTGTGACAATGATATATAAACCACACACATTAATAGAAGGGTAACATGTAGCTTTACCACCAAAAAAAAAATTCTCCGGAGATTTTGAAATAAGTAACTTTTTTTTACTTATGAGTAAGAAAAATAACATTTTCCAATATCTTTAGAAATAAAAATTATTTAGAAGTAAATTTTGAAAAATGTGTTCTTGCTCCCATTTTCAAAAAACCTTTGTAACAAAAAACTATTTCTAGCATACAAATACTTTGTTTAAGAAGTTCATGTAATCGTGGGCAAGGTATAATAGAGAAAAATATAAAAGAATTAGAAATTCCCTAAAATTAAACAGATTCAACAACAAATTTTCTACGAAACAAGCAGCTGTGAAGCTGTTCCAGGCAATCGTTTTCTGAAATTCAATAAATTGAATCATTAAAATAGAGTTAAAAAACAGTAAATTGACGATTAAATAGGAGAGAGTGCATCTCAAAAATAGAAAACGACGTAAATGAATTGTACCCACAAAAAACCCAAAACTAGTCCTACCTCTTCGCTTGAATTAACCGCCATTGTAGTCACATTCAAAGCTCTATCACGTCAATTCCCTCTGTGCATATGTACAACTCTCCCCCTCTCTGTCAAACATTAAATCCAGCAATGGTCTTAGTGTCGTCTTGAGTGCACAATTTGATTTTGTTTTATCACTATCATTCAACTTTGTAGGCAATGTCATCGTAATCATATAACGTTTCAATTTGATTTCATATGACATTTCGCTGTGCATTTTTTTTGTTTTTAACCATTTTCACTAATTTTAAAAGTGATAATACTGTAACTTTATATTATATATATAAAATAATTTTTTTAAATTTTAAAAATATTTATTTTAAAATAAGTTTTTATTTTATTTTAAAAACATTTTATTAATAAGTTTTTACTTTATTTTATTTTTTTAAGGAACGTTTTATAAATAATAACCGTTTATTTTATTTTATTTTATTTTCCTAAGTAACTTTTTTTTTTTTAAATAAGAACATGTTTGTTTCCTATTTTATTTTAAGAATACATTTTGAAATGGTAAATTCATGGCGAATGTGTGATTAAAAAGTAAGGAAAAACTTTGAATTTTTGGATAATATTTTTTTTATTAAAAAATGTGCGGTAAAAAAAAATAGAAAGAAAAATGTATTTTGAAAATAATGTGGATTAAACAAGGGCTAAGTTTTTATTTTATTTTAGAAACCTTTTTTTAAATAAGTTTTTTTTTCCCTAAGTAACCTTTTTTCTAAAAATAATTTTTTATTTTATTTTTTTAAAATAAGTTTTTAATTTATTTTATTTTATGCATATAATGTAAAATTATTGTTTTACTCCTTTTAAAATTAATGAAAATGGTTTTAAAAAAAAAAGAAAAAAAGTTAATTGACAATGGCGAAATGTTATATGAAATTGGATGGTATCATAAAATAAAATCAAATTAGGTGGCCATAGTGATACAAAATATAAAATTGGATGGCCATGATGAAACAAAATTAAATTGGATGACCATGATAACACTAAGTATAAAATTGAGTGGACATTGGTGGATTTAACCTAGATGACACACAATGGGAAGGAGAGTTCGATCACTGATTTTCTGTATATTTTTTTATGTTTCCCTAGGATGGTTTTTAGACCCAACTTAATCGACTAAGGTTTGTACTTCGTGGACTTGACAATTTACATAATTAATTTCTAACAAATGATGTGACGAAATTTAATTGAATCAAAATCTCGTCAATCAAAAAACTTCTGCACTTACATTTTGACACATCATTATTGTATAAAAAATTATGTAAATAGTCATGTACAATAAGTATTTTCCATCAACTAATGAAGCAAATATAGATTAACAATCGAATATTAAAGTCATGTGGCATCTACATAGTATCTGAAGCAAACTCCTAAGTGCACAAGACGTGATTTGATGGAAAAGTTGACTACATTTTAAACAATTCAATCATAGAGTGTCATATGACATTATGTCAAATATTATACAATTATTTTGTTACTGTAGCATGGTTTAAGATGGATTCACCCACACCTCAACAATTTTTTTCGGGAAATATTTATTGTACTTAACTATTTATATAATGTTTTACATAATAATAATGTGTCAAAATATAAGTGGTGAAATTATTTGATTAATGAGATTTTGATCCAATTAAATCTTGTCCATCATTTGTTGGTGAATAATTATGTAAATTGTTATGTACATGTAATACAAAACTTTTATTTATATCCTACTGGTAGAATGATTATAATTTAATTCTTGACACATTTGAACTTGAACAAACTATTGAGTAAAAGAGAAGTAATTCTTATCTAAAGATATTTCGTTACATTCATAAGTATGAACACTTGAAACGAACTAATGAATAGCACGTGACGGCATCTCCAATCATGGTGCAAAATATATTTAAATTGTAATTTAGACATCCCAACTAGTTGAAAACCTCTCTAATGGATAAATGCAAAGAAGTGCAAATTGCATTTTTCGACAGACAAGAGACGTAAAAAATGTATTTAGATATTTTTATTAGAACAAAAAATTTGAATTTAGATCAATCCGGATGCAAATAAAAATGCATAAGTGATTTTGAAAATATAAATTTACACTATTTTGCGCCACCACAGAATGCTCAGAATATCTAGAATTTAGATTTTGAACCTCATTATATGTAGAAGGATTATTCTAGTGGTACATCACCACTTACACAAGGGTGTCAATAATGGACACCCGACACCTCCTCATTGGAGGGAGTGCCGACCCAACCAACTCTCCCTCCAATGAGGAGGNTATCGCCCCGCCCCGCCCCGCCAACCCCGTCGGGGCGGTTTTTTTCGCCCCATTCGGGGCGGGGCACCGTCGGGGCGGGGCGGTTTTTTTTGCCATCCCTAACCAACCCTCCCTCCAATGAGGAGGCACTAGGTGTCCATTATGAACACCCAGATGTAAGAGGTGATGTACCTCTAGTATCTCCCATATGTAGAGTTTTGTAATTTAGCAACTAGAGTAAATTTAGGTGTTTATGTCCACGTAAAAAAATAAAAATACATGGAAAATCAGAAGGGCATTTTTTGTGAAATATGTGACAGAAAATCATGGAATATGCTACTTGTACATAATACGGTATCCACCCCCTCACATGGATGTGGACCCACTTCGAATATATTATATTTTATTTGAAATGGGTTCCTTCAATGTGAGGAAATGAGCACCACATTGTATACATAGCATCATCCAAAAATCATTGTTGGATGCAACACTGTACCAGATTTGTCTGTATTCAAATTTGAAGAAGAGAACAACATGTCAACCAAAGGATAGTCACGGGCTGTTAACCAAAACAGCCCTCCTTTTCAGTGCAAAATATCAATAATTATGTTCCATGTATTCGGTCTAAAAGTTAAATTATTTTTGTAAATAACGATGAAACATGATCTAAACTATTTTTTTTTTGTCTTATATTAAGAGCTTGTTTGTCATTACTTTTGATTTTTATTTTGCTTCATATAGACGAGTTTTTTTGAGGAATTTATTTTTCTTAATTTTTATTTGAAAACCGAATTTTAGAAAAAAAAATATTTATTTCAAAAGTGATTTTCGAAGGAGTCACATTAAACCAACTTTCTCTGAAAACTCTTCTAATTAGAAAAAACTCTTTCGTAAAATTAGTCAAGCTATAAAACTTCATGCTATTAAAATATGGTACAATTATTAAAAAAATGTGATGTGAATATACTCAATCTTATTGGCTACTGTACATCATTGTGCAAAGCCACATCACGACTATCAAATAGTACGATGAACAAATTTTATATTGTTTCATCAATAGTATGCAATACTACGCAAACATGCATCGTAATGAACAAGATAGTGTGATGAAAAAAATATATAAATTAGCTTATTTTTATATCATTACACTCTATCAATGTTACCAAACATGTCATAAAGGTGTCGGATGTATTTTGACTGTAGGAGGGAATGCCATCTTGTAAGCTACGGTATCCACATAAATTTCTATGTAAGAAAAAAAAACGAATGAAGAATCGGTCTATCAAGGTCTGAGCATCAAAAATTTGTATTCCTCACAGAAAATAGAATCCTCAATTTGATGAACTTCATCAAACAATGAGACAACAAAAACACAGCTATACATGTCTAGTAACAAGTTAATTTGGTAACTAAACATTTGCAGAACTCTACCTGCATTGAAGGTGAGCTGGTTCTTCCTATTCTACGCTTTGAGCAGCCACTAACAATTTAGAATCTCGAGTTACTGTTGTGGCCATCCATACTGCTGGTTCCGGTTACTGCCCACAGGATTCGGGCCTCGGCCACCAGCTCCATATTGACCACTCGGGGGATAATTCGGAGCTCCATATCCACCAGAAGCTCCTCGAGGACCATTTGAAGCACCCGGATACGGTGCTCCCCGACCTTGAGGTGGATACTGTCCACTATTATAACCCCCAGTTTGACCTCCGCGATCTTGATAATACCCACCCGGGTTCCCACTTGGAGGGTATCTATTAGGCCCTCCAGGTGGACCATGAGGCTTTCCATACTGATGATGACTAGGACCCGTAGGCAGTGAAGGCTGCAAGTTGTTCACTGGATGATTAGGTCCCGTCCAATGTTGCGGATGAGGTTGCCCAGATTGTTGGATAGGAGGCAAGCGAGAATGCTGCTGTGGATGCTGCAACTTCTGTCTTTTCGCCATTTCTTCATTTTGCCGCTGTTGCTGTCTTTTCTTCTTTGTTTGAAACTCGTGCGAGGATTCATACTTAGGCAAACTGTGTATTCGAGTAACAGTTGGTCACATGACTGAAGAAAAAGTATCAAGCAAATTTTCGCACAAATACAACAATAGCTGTATTTCTAGAGAAGCCTTGGGAGTTTTCATGTGAAGACAAAGGAAATAACCAAGCTCCAAAGGCTAACCAAACGGACTATTGATACGAAAATGCTATCAACCCTTGACTATCGGATTTAAAGAAACAATTTGGGATATTATTATTACACGTACCTTTTCGGATCGCAAGGCAAGGGATCAGTCCAGAAATATTCAGCATCTAGAGCATCCTTCGCAGATATTCTCTACACAAAAAATTGAAAGCAGTTAAATTACAGACAAATGTTTTTCAAAGAACATTTGCTCATTCACTTTTCTCATAGTAAATGAATGGAATGATAGGAAAATAGAAGCTACACGAAATGATAAATCTTTGAGGTTCATTCGAAGCAGAGAGAAAATTAATGAACAAGAATCTAAATAACAGGTGGATAAATGTAACCATTTGTATTGCCAACTTTTGCACGTTAAGATGAGTTAGAAAATAGTACAAGCAACTGATGCTTCAAAATCCTTCAGAGGTTCTCTATGTAGTTAAATAATTTATAAGTGACAGCCAACTTGATTCTTTGATCTTTTGAGGCACAAGAAAATTCCTTTAGTTGAAAACAATCCAAAATGAATACGCTAATATTAAGTTCATACGACATTATAGGGGTTTTTGAATAAAACTAACAGAAAACGATTAAGCAAACTTACGGAGCAACTATTTTCATGTATGCTCTGCTAATGACAAACTTGCTCTATATGTAGCCATATTGAATGTTCAGGCCATGGGCTATTAAGTCTCTCCCTTTACAACCACATTCCACAAAAAATGTCTCTTTTCTTCCTCTACTCTTAGTTTTGCTGATTATCACAGCACTCTTACTTGATAGGACAATCAATAATTTTTCACATACATATTAAATATCTTAACAACTTGTAGAGACAATTACAAAGACATTCATGAGGTAATATTCCAGACAATCATGAGGTAACTGAATAGTACAATGACTCCCCCTCTCATTTCAAATTATATAGATGTCCATTGATGTGTGCCTCGCACAACAGTCTATTTTTAAGGCCTTTTCCAGAAAAGAAAATTGTTTAATACCTGAAGTGCCTGACAATAAAAGATAAAAAATCAAGCGCTTCCTCCAGCATAGCAAACACCACGTACCTACCACTATGCATATAAAAAAAATAAAGCATGTACAATATCCATATCTATACCAAGCATAATCCCATTATGTCTCTAAATGTCATTCAAGTGGTATTCCATAACTCATGCAAATCATTCAGTTAACATGGTAATTAGAACAGTCAATATAATAGCAGCAGCAGCAAGAAATGTGTGCCTAACTGGAGAGATCAGATTTCAGGACATGAGAATCCATATCAGATAAGAGAGATACCTGAGATGGATCGAGGGCCAGCATTTTCTCTAATAATTCCAGAGCATTGCGGTCAAAACTGCATAGCAAATAAATAATCAGCATATCAACATCTTGCATTAAAGAAATTGCATTACCAAATACTAAGGGATTGTTTGACAAAGGTCTCTACAAAAGTTTTAGTGGATTTTGATAAAAGTTGATGAAATGTGTAATTAAAAAGTTGAAAAAAGTTGTCGGTCCCATAAAATGTGTAATTAAAATGAAGTTAGACTAGTTGAAAAGTTGGATAAAATTTTAATGAAGTTTTATCAAACAAGAACTAGAATTCCATAACTTCAGTTCCAGATGCTTAACTGTCTAAAGACTTCACGGACTCGTCTCTTCAAAGGTCGTGCTGGCTTGAATTTGTTATACCAGGGGATCTTGGAAACACCAGGCCAATTAATCTCATCAGGAGTTCCACAAAGCTCAAATATCCTATTCAATTGTTCGGGCTTGAAAATGGGGAAATGAAAAAAAAGGGGTTATTGTACAAAAGGAAGCGGGGATTAATGAACAATTATAAATGTCCACCGACAATGTTCTAATTTAACTTCCACAATTTTGAAAAATTACTCTGGCAAGAACATTTACCAATAGAACTAAGATTACTTGATATATCTGCTCAACTTAACACTTCAAGTAGACTAATTCTCTTTAACTGGTAAGAAGCTCCAATCAAATAGCATACAGACTTTTATCATGGGTAAACAAAAATCTCTTCAGTCGGCACCAAATGAAATGAGAGAACATTGTCAATAGGTCCAAAAACTAAATAATAAAGGCCTAGGATGAGGTTGCACAATTCTGGAAACAATCTCATAGAAAAAATGTTTACTCTGTTCTCATCAGCATATTTATCCACGACACTGACTAGTTTTAAAACCGAGCATGAGAATGAATGGAGCAATAGACTATCACTTCTTTTTAGATATTCTAGGCCTTCTTGTTCTTTTCCTTATATATAATGGCATGAAATCACTGGTTGAAAGCTAAGAAGCACATGTATACTTTTAAACATATTGCATACCTGTATTCGATACGTATCCAAGCTTGGATATGCTTGGAAACACTCTGATACGTACCAGATACGTGTTTTTTAATTATTTTATATTTTTTAAATTTTCGATACATATCGAACATCTCAGGACACGTGAAGAAGAGTTCATTGATTTTAAACTCTTTTAAAACTCATTATATTATTATTGGCAATAGATGTCAGTTTGTTTATTTAATAAATAACTATAGTTATTATCAATTATTGAAAATAGATAATATTTATTAAATAACAAGGAGAGCCTTTTGTGTGTTCTACGAGAAGAAATAAAATAACTCCACAATGAGCTGAAGAATTATTTTCATTCACAACAATTTGCATCGTTGATAATTTTATCAAGAAAATTAATTATTTATTCAAAAGGAGAATCCAAAATGTGGAACATTGCCAGATACTCATTTTGATACTCTTAAAGATTTGGGCGGCTTGAGATTGCTAATCTATTATTAGATGAACCACAATTAGAGAGTAGTTTTTTAATGATAATGAAAACGTTGATGTTGAAGAAAATGAAGTTATGATAATTAAGGGTTAAGATGAAAATATTTTAGTATTTTATTTTATTTTTATTGACAGACTTCTGTTTTAATATTTTTTATAATAATGAAAGTATGCTGAATTTTATATTTAACTTGTGAACATACATACATACATGCATGCATGCATGCATGCATGTCAAATTCTTATCAACTTAGTAGAATTTTGGTAGAGTAATGGTGAGAATTTAGGAAAATTAAAGGCACATTTTTCATATCCTTTTGGAGAGCCGGTGGGTCGGCCTCTAACATGTGTTTGTTGAGACATGACTTAGTTTTTTGAAGTGGGTCCAGGTGTTTATTAAAAAGCCGTATCGACGTACCCGTATTATATCGTATTTGAATTACGTATCTGAATCCATGCTTTGGAATATGACGTAATTAAGATTATCAAAACATACGAAGCTAGATTATAATGGAATGCACATTTATGTAGTATAGAGAAAGAATAGTGACCACTTCATAGTGCTGATAAAGAGTTTCTAGAATCTATCAAAAAACTACACCTGCATAGGAGGGCAGAAAATTGGAATAAAAACCAAAAAGTAAAAAAATGAACACAGATAGAAGGGTTTAAATAAAATTTACATATGACTTCATAATGAAGCCAGCAAGAGGGCAGAGAATTTGGTACAAATTCCAAAATTTCTAAAATTTCATAAATCTACTAAACTGATCATGAAAATCACTCAGAGTTTGAGTGGAATATCTGTTGTTAGATTTATTCTGTACTGAATGGTTTTATTCTCCTCCAACAGATAGTGTTTGGAATTTGAACACTACCAGAGATTCAAAGTGAATAGATGGTCTAGCTTATGTACAGTCAGGATCTCAACTGCAAAAAACAAACATGCTCCCATAGGACTGTGTGCACGTTAGAGGATGATTTTTTGGATAGCTAGTAACTATCTTAGTCGAAGGTGGGACAGAAGCAATGAGTGCAGCAAAGTATCTTATCTTCCTCCTATGGCCCTAGGAACGAAAAACTGAGCAAGAATAATTTCCAATCTTTAGGTTCCCACCGTCTCTATAGCCTGGCATGTATTATCTAATTGCTTAGGTAAAAAATTGAATAATCTAACATAAAAACCAATTATAAACACAATAACACACAGTGGGCAACCAAATCAAGAACTGGAACCTACATGTATCTTCCTGCACATCCTTAATCACATTTTCAGTCCTTTCTCTATACTACATTCAAATGTTTCATCTTATAAAGAACTCTCAAAAAGCTATCTAACAGCAGCAGTTCAGGAAATGAATGCTATAGCACACACCCATCCACTCATACCAACAACAACAATAACAGGAGATACCTGATACCAATTATGAATTCATGTACAGTCTTATACTGTAGCTATTTGACTTCTTATCAAAAGATAAAAATTAAATATATGCAGCAGAGTCCTAACCTCATTTTTTCCAGGTAAGATTGGTTTCCCATTCAAAAGTTCAGCGAAGATGCAACCAACAGACCACATGTCAACAGCTGGACCATATTTCGTAGCTCCAAGAAGCAACTCTGGAGGCCTGGGTGATCAGTGGTTTAAAATAGACACACAGTCTCAAAGATCGCCATTCGAAGGAAATATAAACTCAGGTATGAAGTATATTAAGAGTTTCTTGTCTGGTAATCCAGCGAAAAAAGGGAAGGATGGATAAAAATTTTACCTGTACCACAAAGTAATGACACGATTAGTAAGATTAGCATTGTGGTCACTCGAAAATGATCGTGCTAGCCCAAAATCTGCAAGCTTCAGATTTCCTTCGTTGTCTATGAGAAGATTGGAGCCTGCAAAATGCTATCTCGAAGATTAGCTTCACTTCCACCAAGTAAAAATTGAATAAGCAGGAAATGGATCCAAAATAACCTTTGATGTCCCTGTGAAGCACTTGATTGACGTGACAGTAATGAAGACCAGTAAGCAGTTGCTTCATATAACACTGTAAAGGTATATTTTTAGCAAACCTTTTAGGGGTTTGATACTGAATATGATTAAACTTTGTCATATGCATATGTAGGGTAAGCTTACAGTACTTTAATCTGTGGAATCGTAAATCTTAATCCAGGACGATCAGCGAGGCCAGTCAAATCATGGTCCATATACTCAAAAACCATGTAAATGCTACCCTTGTACTTGTTACCATCTGTACTCCCAAAGATATTGTAACCAATGAATGCAACATCATCATAATGCGCAGGGAAAAAGAGACTACAGATGCAAGAGCGAAGAATTTTGCTAGTTACCTGGCTTTCCTTGATCCTCTGCTTCAGGTCCTTGATGACATATGTAGAGTACATTAGAAGTGTGAAAATATATATCAAATCAACGATAACAAACAAGCTCGCAGGAAATGATATCTTTCAATGTTGGGTTAACATAGTACCTGGAGATGTCACTATCTCTTTCAACTTTATAACATTCTCATGCTGCAGCTTCTTTAGAATTTTAATTTCTCGGATTGCAGTTATAGGGAACTGCAGTAAAAAGCAATGTTCCTCAGACTTTTTATTATAAAAGATGTACCACCTATGCGAAAAGGGGCTCTTTGTAGTTCACACAGCATGTATAAATCCCTGTTATTACAAATGATCTCCGAGGAAAGAAAAATTACCCCTTCCTTTTCATTATCCATGCGTATCTTTTTTAAAGCAACAATTTCTCCAGTTTCCTTTTCTCTGGCCATGTAAACTTGACTGCAAAAGGAAAAAAAAAGTTGAAAATAAAACAAAAGCATGCATATCAGCAAAGAAACCAGAGATATTCTCATTATTGGAACTTCCTCTATAGTCAATTTCCATGTACAATAAGTTCAAAATAGAATATGATTTTCCTATTTCTTAAGATAGAAAAGCACATAATTCCAATTTTCCTACAGATTTTCCTGTGAGATATTTGGCATTTAAGTCAGCTAATATATATCACTTGCAAGACGACTCTTATTGTCTCGGAAATTTGTCCTTGCTCCTTAATAAAGTAAGAGCCAGAATACTTTCTAGTTTGTTATTGAAAGTTGTACTCAATTGATTGAAATACTAATTAGAAACTTATTATGGATGCTTTATCCACATTTAATGTATCTGTTTTCATACTGTAAGCACATGCCATTGTTTTCCTTACACTTAAAGTCCACCACAGTCCTAAGACATCTATTTTTGTGAATAAGAGGGGGTAAATACTACAAAATCAAATGGATGTATGAACAATATGCACTTGCCAACAGCCAAGTTGAAGAAGTAAAAAAATACACAAATCTTCATCTCTGGGATTACAGAGACGAGAAAGCTTTCAATTGCTGCATTCCACAAGCCCAATAAATTATTATTGCCTTACAGGTGGCATCTTTTGTGATTATTATTCTCAAAGATTTTTGCAAAATATCTCCCAATCTACTAATTAACTTACCAAAGGGAATAGCCAACTCAACTGTAATGTCCAACTTATAAACCATTCACGGAGAAACAAATCCAGTTAAATTTCCACACCCGAAAGGCAACAATTGTAATTGTGAAAAGTCAGAAAGACATTTAACAAGGTACCAACCCTAATAAAACCAGAGTAGCATAGTTAACTTTTATGATTATGGTCACACAGTAATATTTCGGGCAAGTCATTAACTTACCAACTATCATGACAACATTAAACCTAAATTACACAATGAAACCAATTAGTCAACAAAAAGAAAAATATAACTTTAGTTTTCGAATTACAAATTGAAAACCAATTCATCGAATTATGGAGCCGTTTCCTTCCCTTCCCTTCCCTTCTATTTATTACTCTCAAACGAATGCAACAATAAAGATGAAATATAAAGATTCAAACAGCTGTTGTAAGCCAGTATAACATAGAAATCAGAAAAAAATAAATTTTCAAACACTACAAAAAAGAAAAAACAAAAACAAAAACAAAACAAAAGATACACTACCCCGTACGCAGATAAATAAAATTAGCAACACCAGATTACAAACTTAGTAAACTTTCATAATAAACGAATATCAAAATAATTCGCCTTTTTCCTATTAATTAACTCGAAAAAAAATGCTTACCCATAGGTTCCTTCACCAATCTGCTCTAGTTTCTCGAAGCATTCCACGCTTCGCGAACCCCACGACGGCGACTCCTCCACGTTCAGTAAATTATTTGTCGCCGCCGCCATTAATATGTCTATGAGCTTTAATATAAGAAAATTGAAGTTAATTTATGGGTTAGAAATGGATTAAGAAAGGGAATTGCGAATAAAATTCAGAAGTGAAGATTGATTGCCGGCAGGAAGGGTGCGGTCTGATGCGGCGGGGTTCCCATGGGTAGGATTATTACTCAAGGAAATTTGTCAACAAGCAAAGGAATTTTCAATAATTTAAAAATTCTCAACTCCTCCTTTATGCAAAATTAGTTGGAATAAATGCTCTTAGAGGTGTGCATGGGGTCCGATTAGGCTCGATTCTAGAATCGAAGCATGTTCGAAATTTTCGAATAGTTAATAAATTAAATCGTCGGGTCTAAATTTAATTATGTAACCGAATTAGGCTCGATTCTAGAACCGAACCAAACCCAAAATTTTCAGATATTTAGTAAATAGAACCGTCGNACCATCAGGTCTAAATTTAATTATGAAATCGTTCGGGTTCGATTTGATTTCAGGATTCCGTACAATAATTAATTTTTTTTTATATTACAACAATGCTACATTAATTCGATTATGACATATTCAATCTTAACTCTTACAAAATAACGTAGTCCAATCTCGTGATATTTTTTGCACCTCTCTTTGTTGAGTTTTTCATAGATTTGATTGTTAAAATCACAGGAAGAAGAAGATATCTAGTTCACGATAATAGAACGGTAGAATACACTACTGTAGAATAAGAGATTTGGGTAAAACTTATGTCAATTTGATTAAGTTGGGTTTGACTGAAAATTAGAAATAGTAAAATTATATTTCGAGTTTGGACTAAATTAATTAGTTAGAAATTTATTTTTAAAAAATAAAATAATTTGACTTATTTAAGATAAAAAAATTAGGGAGATTCGGTTCTTATTCAGTTTTTCGGTTCTTGGTCTAGAATCGAACAAAACCCGTCGATTTTTTATTCAGATACTTGTTCGGGTATTTAACTTAAGAAGAACGGTTCGATTCGGTCTTGTTCAGTTCGATTCGGATCGAGTTCAGTTCGATTCGGATCGAAAATTTTGTCTAGCTTTAAAGTTTAAATGTTACATATGAATGTTTACTATTACTATTTTTATTTTTTAATCAAGTAACCTTGCTTCTTTTTGAAATCATTAACCTACTCGAACATTAGAAAATCGAAAGGACAAAAATGAAAAACATAACCTCTGTTCTCTTATATATTCAAATTAGGGTGAGCATTTAACTGAAATTTGTAGGTTCCAATCCAATTCAAATAAATTAATTAATTAATTAAAATAGGAATCGGATTGAGAATCAACCAGGTACGGACGGTTCTTGGTTCTAAATCGAAACCGTGAGTACCTACCTAACATTAAAAACGAATTTGTTCTTTTTACAAGTTTTTATTTTAATAATTTATTTTCTCTAACCCGGTTGAATGCAGAGCAAACAATGGAATTGAAAGAAAAGTCGACAGTGTTGATTGTTATGGTATTTTCAAATTAACGACTTTATGATATTTTTAGTATTTGTAGAATCTAGTACTTCTTTATTATTAATAAATAATTTTCGATTTGTTTTTTGAGTATGTAATTTGATCTTTATGTTGCTTGGATGTTATTTGATGGTATACTCGTAATTAATTAAGAAATGTGTATTTGGTGACAATTTTATTTCTTTTATTTTTGTTAAATATTGGAACGATAATTTATATAGTCAACTCATGTTTTTTAAAACAAATATTATGGGTATAATCGAACTCAAACCATTACTGATTGTTCCAGTTCGAATTTGATTCCAGTAAGTAATTATGTAGACTAAAATAATTTTATTTGTAAAATACAGAAATATAATATATAGTTTTGAGTATTGAAATATCCGGACCAACCCACCCGACGTCCAAGCCTAATTGAAATTCTGCTTGAGTTCAATCAACGAGATTTATTACTGCGTTGACGATAACCAGTGTATGTGGCAATGAACTCTAATCAACAACATTTATTACCATGTCAGACGTCAACTATGTAGTCTATTTTGTTAACAGTTGACCGACTTAACATGGAAGAAACAAAAAAGAAGGTGACAATAGGCTTCAATTAACATTATTATCACGCCAAACGACAATTCTAAATTTCGTTAAGTTTAACAATCCCGTAAGGGGACAAATCAGCATAGCATGAGAGAGACCAGAAAAGAATTAATACTGTAATTAATCTTTAATATACTGGTTGTTACCCCTCAATTCCGAGGTCTAAAGACGTAAGGCCACGTAGACAAGACGGCAACAAGAAGTCAAGATGGGGCCCAGTAGGTCAAAGACCCCAGTAAGGCATTAGGCCGAAGTTGTATGCCACGCACCTGATGTGAAGGACCCCCTAAGAGATAACGTGGGTTTCAGTCCAGGGAGCCTCGGGTTGAAGACCCTCATGTGACTAACCTCAGACTGATGCACGCCCTTAAGGCACGATTTGATCCAAGGCTATTACAAGGTCCTTCGACACCCATAAGCCAACGTCACCTCAACAGATTCGAAGATTTCTCTGAACTGATTGATGGGACGTCCGTAATAAAAGTGTCAGTAAATCTTCCAGGGTATTATCAGCCAACTTTTAGTGCGGCTGACTTCCATCAGATATTAAATGTGATAAATGAATGTGATGTGAAGGTTCAGTTTAGAAGATGTTGCCGCGTGGATCTGATCCGACGATCAATACGTCGTTTGGACAGTATAAATAGTCTTCTTTTGTATAGAAGGGCGGGGGGATCTTGGTAAGGAGACAATTAAACACAAAATACCTTCATTCTTGTGAAAAACACAGATGGAAGATGATCTACATACTTTGTTCTTTACACATTTTGCAAAGACAATAGCAAATATATGAAGATTCCAATGTCAAACACCATTTGATTCTATCTATTCTTCCACATATTCCATAACAAAAGAGATATTCATTTCAAGAGAGTCGACCTGACCCTTGTTGATAGTGCAAGGGTTGTTTAAAGAAAATTGTCGGAGCTTGAACAGTTGTGTCTCTTGCCGGAAAGCATCTCCCGCGCCATTTCCAACTATGCTACCGCTCCTGTTCCGATAGAAACGTGCCAAACTATTGCTTGACATGGCAAGAGTGGACCCAACATCTGTTGAGTCAATTTTTTGGGGTCAACACTGGTTTAGGTGACATGGGCTCCAATCAACAACATTTATTCCCACAAAAGACATCAACTCTTCATTTTGTTATGTTTAAAGGTCACATAAGCTAACAAACCGACTCAACATGTAATAAACAGGAAAGAATAATCATATTCAGCATTAGTAGATCGATTTATGTATGTGGCAACGAGCAGGACGGACACAGAAGCTTAAAGTTAGAGGGCACAATCAAACTTGCAAAGAAATTTTGAGAAATTTACAATCGAAAATTTACGTCCAAAAAAATCATATCTTATGTAATTTTGTATTCGAAAATTTACATGAAATATAACTTTTTTGGATGCAAATTTCGAAATTTTTTGATGTCATATTCCATATAAAATGATGAAAATTACATCAAGAAATTTGCATCGCAAAAATAATAAATGTTAATGAAATAATTGAATTTTTTTTAAAAAAATGCGAGTTAAACATTTTTCTTTAATACCATGTTTAACGTATTTTTAACTATTTTCGATATCTATTTGGGCTATTCGATATGCCCATAATGTAATTCTCGAACTAAGTTTTGACATGATATAAGCAATTTGTAGACTCGATTAGCGTACCATCGTCGGAGTATTTTTAACATTATCATGTTA